CCCCCGTTAATTACCTGTCTTGCTATTGTCCTTGTGTTTACATGAGGCATACACATCTTCTCAGCACAAATTAAAAAAAAGGCAAAAGGTAGCAGTGCTCGAGGAACCAGTAAGATGTTGTTGGGTTTTTTTTGTTTGTTTTGGGTCCCCCCCCCCACCCCGTTGTCAGTAACTGCTTTGCAGACAGCAGGTTTATCTGGGGGAAGGGGACAGGGAGAAGGGGAGGAAAGAGGCCATTACTTCTCACAAACTTAATGCTGTAAAGGAAACGTTGTACTGTACATAGGTGTGGGGAGTGTGGGATTGAGTGGAAGAAAAGGCACCTTAATATTGCCAGGAGAAAGTAGCTACTGCCTTGTATTTGTTAAATTCTAAGGAAATACTGCAGACACCTAGCTCAGTCAGTCCCCCAGTGTCAGCAATGAGTTAGCTTGTAATGGAAATTAAAACAGCTACTGTCTTATTAAGTGCTACATAAACCTCAATCTTCTTCATCTGTTCTGCAACCAGTCTCCAAATGCGCATTTTCCATGTTTGTGAATAAAGGTGAAACATTTGCCGCATTTGCAAAATTGAAACATTTGCAGAATTTCAGATGCAGAATTCATTATTTGCCATTTACTGTCAGAAGTATGAGAGGCTGAAGTCTGTCCGTTCAATTGACTGCAAAGATTTTTCAAATAAAAGACATTTACATTTCTGAGTTAAGATACGTGTAAATGGAAAACTGAATAACTGCATAAAAGGAAAGGGAATGCCCTCCTGGTAAACAGACCGTACAGCTTCCAATGGTGACTTCTACTTGAATTGCTGCATCTGTTTCAAACACACTCAAACACAAGGGGCACTAACAGTCATCTATACTTCTGCACAAGTGTTCCCCTGCGTCCCCCACATCCTTAATGCATATCAGAGCCAACTTTGAGAACCATCATTTATTTGCCACAACTTCTCCACAGTTCCCTAAATCTGAGCCAGACAATCCATCTGCACAAAAATACATCCTTTCTTGTAATGATAGCCCTTCAGAGAAGAAATCAGAACTCTATCAAAATGGTGGTGTGCTGTTGTACCACTTCAATTAGGTCAGGATGTGACTCTGACATTTCACAATAATGTCTCTCTCTCCCGAAATTGAGATGCCCATGCATTCATTTTGTCTCTGAAGTGCCCATGTATGCTGACCACAGATACAATGTGGTTGAGGAGGTTTGAAGCCCCCAAACCAGCTGATGCCATGGAGATCTGACTGATTTCCAGCCTGAAACTGATCGGAATAACTTCAACTCCTGATAAAAGTTCTGAAACCTGTTCTGAACCCCCTGATGGCTGAAGTACATCTGATGTTCAGACTTTGCAATTACACAAGTCAGAATCACATTTATGAAAAGTTGTATCACATCTTGATGGAAAAAGCAAATTTAGTATTTCTGGAACTATTTGAACCAGAAGCCCAGGTATTAGCAGGGGCCTTTGTACAGACCAGTCTGTCCCATGAGGGACAGCTGAAGTCACCTGCATGGAGATCTTTTTTTTTTTTTTTTTTTTTTTTTTTTTTTCAGTATTTTCCCCCCCACAAACAACACACCCCCC